ATGGCCTACTGAATCTTGGAGGCGTACCTGCCATCGTGGTGGGCCGTCTCTTGGAAGCTGACCTATCATGGTGACCGCGGCTGCTCTTGGCAGTGGTACGCTTCATGGTTGCTCGGTTTTGGAAGCGCCGTCGTGGTCGCTTAAAGCAATGCTGTTGGGTCTTTGAATGGGCTAATCAACTTCTGGCCCTTCTCAGCTCCGAGATCGACAGCAGCAACAGCCATCATCTGGATCCATGGATGTGGATGACGTCAACAGTACAGCTTCTTCAACGAGAAGACCAAAGGCCAAAGCTCGACCTAGACGTCGTGATGAAACCGTCGCTGGTGATACTGTCATCATCCGCTACGACGCTGCGCACGGCTGCCTCAACATCGTGGCGACACGTTGTGAAAGATACACGGTTTGCGGAGAAAATTACGACAGTATCGGGATTGGCAGCCATGATGAGGTGATGAGGACTGTCCAACAAATGACAAGTGCTCGTGACATGGCGAGGTGCCCAGCAGATGGGAATGGCCAAGGAGGTTTTCGACCCGGCTACTTATCGTCGCAGAGGACAAACTCCTCAACAAATTCACATGAGTTGTCTTTCAGTGCTGCAACTACTCATTGCCAGGGTCACGGGCAAGTGAATGTTCGCAATGCTGAGACCACCACCTCAAGGCGAGCTTGAATTTCTGTACATCGACCAGGTGGGAGTGATGATGATTGATGGCAAAACCGTCACGTCGACGACTACCATCGCAATGCTCTCCAACTATGACATTCGGATCCCAGCCAGGTTTACTGAGAAGTTGACGAAGTCACGTGCAGAACCACGTCCTAGTCGGCATCCCCAAGCTCTTGATCACATCGGACCTGCGGATTATTTGGACCCCAACCAAGTCGGCGTTCGTGAGAAACCACTGACAGCAGAGGAAAGAGCCTTGAAAGAGCGACCATTACAAGACCAGCGGAGCCAAAAGGGCCACCGCCAAGCGGGGGCAATGCCAACAGATGGATCGACAAAGGCGAAGGCAAGGGCAAAGGGCATACACAGGAGGATCGTGAACGTGAACTTGCTCGCTACTCTCGGTGGCACAGAGATCAAACGCGATGATCATCCTCCTCTTTCAAATGCCTATAGCCCATTGCTCTCATCCAATGTTTGGAAACCGGCATCATCGCGTGATCTTCGTCACAATGCCGTTTTCTGTGGTGACTTTCTGATCTTGGCACATATTTTCGGGGGATCGCGTTACTGACGTAGTGAAGTGTCACAGCATTTCTAATTGGGAACAAACGGCTCGTTGCAATATTTCGCAAAGTTGCGGCGGATAAGATACACCGTTTTTCTGTTCAATCGCGACTATCTTCCTATGCCAGCAATGCCGGAAGCATCACTCATGGGGGGTGCGAACGGACCTCGACGCCTCGATCAATTCGTGGGGTGTCGCGATGAGGGCTGTGAGCAGAGGCACCCAGGCCTGCATCGCAGACTGGTATACTGTCAACTTTTTACATTCCTGCTTGCAGAAAGTACAATCCTTTGAAGTGCCCCGCCTCAATCGCACCTGCGGCTCAAGAAACTGCCGTAAACCAAAGGCTTACGACTCAGGTTGTACGCATCCGATCCAATCATTCGAGCCATCCTGCTGCACAGACCACGGCTGAGCATCGTCCTCATCGAGGAAAAAAGCGTTAAGCGTGAGAGTGAAGTCATCAACTACTACCTCAAGTCTTGGGCAACCACACTACATCAAGTAGCTCTGTGAGGCGAGCGATTAAGGGAACATGAGTGATTTGCAAACCCCCGCCGCAGTTTAAGTGATATATATATATATATACATATAGAGTAAATATATTAAAGGACACACATTACATGTTGCGTTTTTGTATTTTCTTTGTCATATTCTACATGTTCAGGAGTTTGTTTTTCACTCATTATATGCTACATGGCATATTACATATTGCATGTTACATGTTGAATATTCAATGTTGTTTAACCTATTATACATTTGGTGTTTGGTACTGAATATTGCATAAATTATGTTGTATATATATATACACACATATTCTAGTATACGACATATAGTATACAGTATAGAGTATGTGGTATACAGTATATAGTATGCAGTGTATAGTATATAGTATACAGTTTATAATTTATAGTATGTAGTATGTACTAAAACCTATACCGTTTGTTGTGTGCTAAACTTGTTACCCGGCATATTGCATGTTGTATACGGTGTACAATAAAACAGGACTTTCGAAATTACCTTCAAATTGCTCATATCGTTTTCAGATATCATATATCATGCATGAACCCTCAGATATCACATATCATATGTCAGACCCGATCATAGCTATTATATATGTATATGTATATGTATATGTATATGTGTATATGTGTATATGTGCATACGTGTATATGTGTATATGTGTGTATGTGTATATGTGTATATGTGCATTTATATATGCATGGTATAGCATCTCTTACATACATATGTTTAATGACAATAAAACTAACATATAGTCTGCTTTTACATGTTTTATATCGCAAAAACAAAATTGTTGGATTCATTACAACGGCTTAACACTTTACATATTGTACAATGTTTGTTATGTACAGTATGCTGTACGTTTTGTGCTAAATGATCTATGTTACATATTACATGCTTTCATACCATACGTATTGTATATCATACCGTGTATAGTTGACCCGTTAACGTTTATGCATATGCATTTTCGGTTGTAAATTGGCTAGTTTTCGCATATGTATATATATATATAGAGTGTGTATATTATATCGATTTCATTTTTTCACATGTTCTAGACTAAGCATGAAAGACTATATGTTAAGTCACATGTCTTATATTCTGTAACCTATATGGCATAGACGGTTTTTCCACAGGTTATAGATTATATACTACATGTATATTTGGTATTGTATGTGAAACACTTTTCCAATATATATTGTGTATGTATGTATATACACTCTAAATACTGCATGCATATCTAATTCTTGTACATTATGTAAGATATATGCTAAGTATGAGCTTTTGCATACCACATGCTATGTTTCAAAATTTGACTTTGGAACATAATGAGCTTGAGCATGCCGAAACACAGTATGTTATGTTATGCTACGTTGTAAAACATGACGTGGTCATTGTTTTATTTCATGCCATATTGTATTTTACCTGTGCTACGTCTCTTCATTCCAAATGATCTCATAGTGTGGTAGCCTGCCATATGTTGCTACGTTGTACGAGCCAAATTCGTTTCGCCGAGCGTGCATCTCGCAACAGCGATGACCGGAAATTTTTCAGTCTGGGGCACCTGTGCTTGGGCATGCCTATCGTTCCCAGATCGTTTCGCACGGTGACCACGGACAAATCCAGTACAATCTAGCTGAACACAACAGATCCTCTGTAAGTATCAGTGCAGAATCAATCGCTGTGGAGGCCAAAGCAGAAGCAGCGAAAAAGCGTGCTCGAGACGGCTTTGGTGAGGGCGATGGGGATTGGATGGACAGTGATCCCGACAGGCCTCGTTCCCAGCATATTCACCTTGCAGAATGTTTGCTTTGCTTTCAGGGCTTTCCTGTGGATCACGCAGACTACAGGAGCGAGCAGTCGAGTGAAGAACAGATGGAGTCCTACTTCGATTTGGTCAAGCGGTACACCACGAAGAAAACGCTGCCAACGGCAAACCTGGCATGCTTTCCTTCCTACTGGTAGTAAGTCTACCGTCCAGCGCGAAACAGCACTTGCTGCCCTGTCCAAGACGTTGGGTTGAATGCAAACGAGAGCAGAACTTGTGATGTTTTCAGTATGTCAGTGCATAGCCAGATATGTTTAGGAGCCCCATTGGGGGCGTCTCGGAGAAGCAGAGACACAACATATTGCCCAGGCCCAGGCCCAGGCAGCAGGGGGGTCGGCCGTGTTTCTTTTCTTTCTGTTAACTGTGCCTTCTTTTTGTGTTAACTTTGTCTTCTTTTTGTTTGGCGCTGTGTGTGTTTTGTGGTCCCGCAGATACAACCCTAAAGCGTGGAAGGCAGAGCAGATCCGAAAGTCGTCCCGGAGATTAAATCTTAAACTGAGGAAGGCAGAGCAAACCCCAGCGTCAAACTTGAAGCCTTAAAGCGAGGAAGGCAGAGCAAACCGAAAGTCGTCCGGGCAGGCCCAAAATGCAGGCAGAAAAAACAGTGAACAAGCGACACAGTTAACACAAAAATGACACAGGGTAACCGGCTATACTTTCCCGGGAAGAAGTGCTTCGCTTGACTTCTGCTCACTCAGATGAAAGTCTTCCCATCCAGTCCAAGTCGTGGAATCCAGAATGGCTTATCTGGATGTATATGTGTTCATCTTCGGATGATGTCTCCGAATTTCACTTCAGATGTCGTGAAGTTAACGGACGGAGATGAGTCTCAGCACGTGAAGCACAAGGAGGCTCCTAGCCAGCGAGATCTTTGTCAGACCAAACCATATGAGAAGCGAAGCGGTGAGCCTGTTAATTCCAAACCTGAGGAATGTTGTTGCGGTTTCATATCGACATTTGCCAGCAGTGGTTCGCGACCTGTTGTCAGAATCGTCAGCATCTTGTTACTTCAGAGACCGCGAAGCTTCTGTGAAACGGTGTCGCCCGTGAAACTAGCGGAGCAACTTGTTCAATGCATGTTCGTCGTGAGTGATTTCGACGTGTTTGAAATCCTGTTGCGCACTTACATAGACGCCGCAAGCACTCATCATGCACCCATTGTCATAGGAGCACACATTCGCCGAATGTGTTGTCCTCTTCCATTCTGGACATGACTCACGAAGCGCGTCGTGCTTCGACGGGGGCCGCTCACCCTTTCGAATCTGGTCCAACCGGCAAAAGTTCGCGGCCTGAAGGAAGTATGCGTACATGAAAAAATGGCTTGTAAATCTGGATTACGTGTCTCAAAATCGATGCAGCCATCCAAAAGCCGCTGTCGGACTTCATGTGTAATTAGTGTAGTTAGTTCTTCCGCAGTGGCAGGGGTCTGACAGAACATCTTGTTTTTGTCTTTGCCTGTGACTTCCTGCATCCATGCTTGTGCTCCCGAGCTGAGCTGGTTCCTTGGGGGTCTTGGGCTGTGAGCTGGAGTGTTGAGTGTTTGGGCCTTCTTTGGAAGAAGCTCCGAAGTTGTGTGATCTTCCCCGGCCGTGTGCGGTGTGGAGGCTGGTTTGTGCTTCAGGTCATTTCTGCTGCGTATTTTCCCGTATGCCCTGCCCATTGCAAGCTCCTGGAAGAGTTTTTTGACCTTAATTGGGTCTGAGCTTAGCTTGATCCATTATGAAGACTTTTGTTGCCGATTGTTTGTGTCAGCTTTCCATCCTTGCAAGGACTTGATGCGTTGCTGCTAAGCTGAACCTGTTGCATTTCTAAGACATTTACAGAAGTATCAGAAGATTGTCATCTGTGCCATCATTGATGATTGGCCTGGCGGCTGCTGTTTTCCTGGCCATTCCCAATGCCGAAAGTTTATGGTTCCAGCCGACCTCGGGACTCTGGAGTTTTTTTGCGAAGTTGTGCCTCAAAACCTCTTTTTCTTAGTTCCTACATGGCATTCTGGCGATTACACGGGCTTTGTACTTTCAGCTGCACAGCTGGTGGCATGTGTCCTAGAGCACTTCGCTCTCGATCTTTTTGAAGACATGGTGTGAGTGGCTTCGAGTCGCACCACATGGCAGGTGGACCATGATAAGATCGAGTACAAGTCCTTCCGCAAAAACTTGTATGTGCAGGTGGAGCTTCGCAGGTGAAATGATGGAACGGTGTTGCGCAGAAGCACAGGTCAAAGAGATCACGAACTTGAAGGATCACGAGGCAGCATCATGATGCAGCAAGCATCCCTGGCATGCCTGTCAATGCGGCACCGACCATGACAGGTAGCAGATCTCAGAAGAACGCATGGTGACATCACAGTCAGGGGGAAGTCGGTGGCTTAGACCTGCCAATACCTGCCATAGCCAACGGCGGCCCGTGCTGGCCGATGCTGCAGGCGATGCCCGAATCCTGTCACAAGCTTCTTGCAGTCAGAGCCTGAGTCTGTCAAGCGTCTAGCAGTTGTGTAGTTGTGTGCTTCTGCTGCACAGACCAGGTGTGGCTTGCCCGACAAGATCATGAAGATCATGGAGAAACGTGACTATGAAAAGCCATTCCCTATACAAATGCAGGCAGGATGCCCGAAACAGAGGAATGCATGAGCACATGCACGCCACGACTGTCACAGCAGCAATGACGCCACCGCCGCAGCAGCAGCAACAGGCGCAGCCGAAAGGTAGCAACAGCAGCTGCGGCAATGGGGCCATGAGCATCCACCGTAACGAATCAACATCATATGCATCACCACCAACAGACGAACGCAGTTGCCGGTGCACTCGAGACTCGAGCCTTGTCAGGCAATTCCTGCGTTGATGTGCGGCCGAGACGTCATAGGCCACATCCTTCTGATCTCGGTCGAGTTTTGTTGCGGAAGTTCAACAGTTTGCCTTTGATCTTGGGTCATACAGAGAGCGGGTTGCCAACGAAACTCGAGGTGTCGCCCAGACAGGTTCCGGCAAGACTCTTGCGTATCTGCTGCCGCTCATCAGGTGTGTGGTTCGTGTGAAGCGATGCTACCGAGAAAAGCAGAGAACGTCGCAGGCACATCTTGGACCAGCCGAAGCTTGGGAATGGAGATGGCCCGATTGGATTTGTGGCTCTGACCCTAGATCAGCTCGTGGCATGTCTCAACAAGGCCGACCGCAAGCAGCTGGCCTATGTGGCCTATACTATCGTGCCTGCATGTTCGACAATTTGACGAAGTTAGCTTGCAACGTGTAGCATCATGTCTCTTCAGTTTGATGAGTGTTGCATCGAGCTGTCTGTTCAGTGGACAGTAGACAAGACTGCCGGTTCGTGTATGTTTTTGCGGGTGCGAGAATCCTGCTACCCGTGCCATAGCGCTGCCAGCCTTATCGTGATGTGATTTCACTCGAAGGTCGCACCTACTCGTGAGCTTGCGCTACAGATCCAGCGCGAGGCAGGCACATTCTGCAAAGACGCCAGGCTGCACTCAGCTGCGCTACGGCAAGAGATGTTCACAAATTGCTGATGCATCACAAGGCTGTGCACTTGATCAGCGTTTGCGCATATGGTGGCGGACCGATGGGTGAGCAGCTCTCGGCTTTGAAGAAAGGCGCCTCCGGTTAGCCCTAGCTGAGCTGCGATGGTCGCACTGTGCAGGAGTAGGATGCTGCCTGAGCATATCTCACACTGTGGGCGGTTCCCGGGCATGAAGCGATGGTGGCTGGCAATTGGAGCGAAGCCCGTCTCGTTGCGCACGGCTCCGGCGCCTTCACAGTCTGTCGCTGTGTGGACAAATCCAACACACGGCGACGCGGCGTATTACCACCCTTGGACGTATGCTTGTGCTCTTGTGTCAGGCTTGTGAGCTTTTTTTGCTGTCCCTCTGCCACATGGACATTGGTGAACTAGTCTCGACTTCGTGGTGCTAGATGGGGCGTTAATCGGCGTATTTGTAAGACATCGAAGAGTTGCTTAAGTTGAGCAGAAAACCCAATACGAGAAAAGTTGTTGATTCAAGCAAGTGCGATTTCCATTCAGTTCCAAAGGGATCTGGCGGCTGCGAGTTGGAGGAGAAATATGGTGAGGGGCCATGGCAATTGGTAACACAGAGCTCAAAATGCGAGATCAATAATGAAACTCTGCCTCTCATGGGCTATTGCTTGACCATATTTATCATGCCCAATCAAGGGATGGCAGTTAATCACGCTTCGTTACACCGGCCCTTCATGAGGCGATGGCGGTCTCATATTTCTTCAACCCTGCCCTCATTAGGCAATGGCGGTCGCATTTATGAAGCAACAAGCTCCCTTGACCTTTAAGCTGCGACATGGATGTTTGACTTCGTGCTCAAGCCTTGCTGGATTGGATTGAGCTTTTTCGTTGGGCTCATTTCGGGGTCAGTTCGAACTTCCCTTCCAAATATAGGCTTCAGCTTCCTTCTTAGAGCTGTTCGCTGCCTGCCGGTGACTTCTTCTCAGCTTGCAGCCCGGTGGGCTGGCTGCTGGAGCCTGGGTTTTGGATTCGGTTGGGCTGTACCGTAGGCCTGGCATGGTGATCTTCGCTCGGCTCTTCCAGTATTCTGATGAGGTTGATGGTTCGGGACCAACGGCCCAGACTGCCATATGTCAGCCTCGTGCCTTAGCTCAGGAGCTTGTTTTGGCGCCTGCTCTCTTCCCCTTGCCCCCGACCTGACTGCAAGCTTATCCACAACAAGTTTTGCTATGGATGCCTCGTTGGGCAGGACAGCTGTGAGCTCAGCAAAAGCTGTCCCCTTACTTCTTGGATCAGACTTTTCCTTGTGGCTCTTTGCGCTCAGGGGCCGCTTTCACCCAGTCTCTGCGCCTTGTTGTTTGGCAGCTTTTCAAACTGCCCTTGTGACGTCACTGGTCATGCGGTTTTGGACTTTGACTCCACCCTTGGCTTCCCGGTCCCATTGAGGCCACTTTTCTCCTTTGCTCCAGACGTGTCTGTTGCTACCTCCAGGCCTGTCTCTTCTTACGGCCTTTTTCCTACCTTCGGGCCTGCAAGTGCCCTCTGGACTGCTCACCCGGTTTTGGTGAGTCTTGGTCTCCTTCGTTCACTCAGGCTTGTCAAAGCCTCGCCCAAACCGGACGCGATGGATTTCTCTTTGGCCCCTTAGCAGGTGCTACTTCATCTCCCGATGCCCCGATACCGCCACCATGCCTTCGACTTTGACTCCACCTTGGGCTTTCCTGGTGATTCACTGTTGATCTGGGTTGCTGTCTGTTCTGTAGCTCCCTACTTCACATCGTCGCCGATAGGGCTGTGAGGCAGGCCTGAGAATAGAGGAAACCGAGCGAAGCTTTTGGAGGCTGTCAACCATTGGCTACAAACTCGAGGAAGCAGCCTGGGTGATCTGCTTAAGCTCCCTGTTGATCAGGCGGAGCACACGGCGGTTGTCTTGGTTGAGTATGGTCAGATGTTGTTCCGATCGGGGTTCCCTTGCAGGTTTTCTGAAGCTGAGCATGAGGCCTGGAATCCGGAGATCATTGGGCTATTCATGGGACCTCGCCTTTGAAAAGCCGCCAGTACACCTAAAGGAGTGCTGTTGGCAATGTTGCCAGCTTGCCTCCTTTGGGGCTGGCTTACAGCGGCTGCAATTGGTTTGGCATGGCGTGGGCTCCTCCGAATCGGCGAAGGGCTGCAAGCGAGGAGGAAAGACGTCATCCTACCGAGTGATACGGCTCCAGCAACCTTCTTCGCTTTGCTCCAGGTGCAAACGCCAAAAACTCGTGGTCGCGCTGCCAGGCATCAAGCGGCTGTCAGGATTGATCCGGTTGATATAATCGAGCTGCTGAACGTTGCCTTCGCTGGGTTGCACCCTGAGTCCAAATTGTTGCCTATGTCAGGGGGTGCTTTGCGGCGAAAAGTACAAGCTGTACTTGCTCGTCTAGGCCTGGCACCGGGATGCAAGGCAGCTTTCGACCTGGCCTCATTTAAGCCAGGGGGGGCGACTTGGATGCTTCATGTCACTGGGAACGGAGGTCTACTTGCAGGAGGTCGTTGCCACGACCTTTGTACCAAGTTTGGAGCCTACCTGGTGGATACTTTGGCTCTGGGCGATGTTCTTACAACGAGTAAGATTTCGCAGCGGGCTTGGTTTTTCTTGATTGCAGACAGACGGGACATGCTCTCGCACGAAAGGCGCGGATTGTGATGGATCGTCGTTGTGCTTTGTGCCCTGACAAAGAAGATATGCTGCAAACTGGGCCCTTCTGTGGAACATTTGGCTACCAGCCGATTGTGCCATGTCGGGTATCTGGAGGTGGGTTCAGAGATGTGATCAACCGTCATGGTCATGGCTTATCCAGCAGCTCCACTCTGTTTTCTTTCTCCCGCATGATGGGATGCGTTCGTTGAGCTCGCCAATTTGTGGCGAAGGAAAGAAACAAAGTCATACCTCCAGATACCCGGCATGGCACAATCGGCTGGTAGCCAAATGTGCCACAGAAGTGCTCAGTTGCAGCAAAAGGACCTGGCGGGTGGGCAGGAAGCTGGAGCACGAAGTCAAACATCCGTGTCGCAGCTTCAAGGTCAAGCATCTCTACTCTGTTTTCCTCCTGCATGATGGGATGCATTCGTTGAGCTCACCAGTTTTGGCGAAGCAAAAAGAAAGTCACACCCCTCACTGTGCGACGGCAGTTTTCTCTCCACCCACCCCCTCGCGATCACGGTTGATCCCGCCTCACGTGATCGCGGTCGAGCACGTTTCTTAAGACGGCGCGTTTGTTTCTTGCTGGGGCCAGACGCGCTGTCTTGTGCCCTTTGGCGCCCTGTTTAGGGATTGCCGCAGGGTTAGGCTTTGCGCTACAAACCTGAAGTGCGGTTTATCAAGTATTACGTACGTCCTTTATAAGATCGGCTTGCCTTTCTGCCTGCTTGTACAAGAACGCGGTCTTTAGAGCCAACGGATCGTGGTGCTGTTGCTGTATACCTGCCACAACCGAGCCCATGCCACGACGTCACCATTGAAACCCAGGGCAAGGATATTCCCCAAAATAGCCAGGGTCCTGCCGGTGTGGTCATTGTGCTTGTCCAGCACCTGCAGAAGCACTCGCAAGGGTGCCTCCGACTTTCTTTGCCATTGCGGAGAGCTGGGACTCAACGCGAATGTGTTTGCTCGCGATCGGCGTGTGGCATTCGCATATGAGTACCAATGTTTGCGATTGGGTATAGTCATTGGCTTAGTTGAAAATGCTGCCAGCGATTTCCTTCCTGGGCGGTGTGGTCAGAGATGAACCCTCGCGCCTTGGAATCCGCAACACCTGAACAGGCTTGGTGGGTTCATTCCTGCGCCCCACCACTGGAAATATCTTGCAAAGCACAATTGTGCGTCTGCTGCTGGCGGTTCTCTGCCGCCATCCGCTCAAACTCCTGCTTGGCCTTGTACACATCATCTCCTATCTCAGTCGGAGCTGCCTCCAACTTCGGTGAATAGCCTTTCATGGCATATAGCTCCATGCCAACGTCAGGAAGTCCTTGTTGGTCCGCGCTGGCCTGCAACTACGTCGTCGCAGTCTCATCCGTTCGTACTGGCCACAGCTTGGGCGGCGGTGTGGTGTTGGAGGGTCCACAGCTGCACCACCGTAGATCCTTGCTGCTCATGAGGCTCCGGCTGTTGCGAGTGGCTATAGAACTGAGCACCGGTGAGGGAGCACTCGCTTCGCACTTGCGCACCCCCTCCAGGAGATCTCCAGAGCCGGGCGGTCCGCAGACATTTGCATCATCTGGCACTGCTCCTGAAAAGCCACACACACTGGGTTCACCCATCCCTACAGCGGTTACTATGCCATGGCTACCGTTCGTTTAAGGAGCGGTGTGGTCGGCAAAGTGCCAACAAAACTTCAGCCAACTAACAGCCGATACACCTATGGCGGTTGCTTTGATATCTCAAACCCATACGATTGCGGTTGATCACATTTCTTCAACCGCCCTCTCATCAGGCGTTTTGGAGCGAAGCCCAGCTGCGGGAGTCGTGTCGCTGCGCGAATCCGGATGGCCAATGAATCTGCGAATTGACGTTTTCGATTGTCGGAATCGGTCGTATTCGGTCGTTCTGCTGCTCGAATCCGGAGTTGCCTTCCGGTATTCAGTAGTGGTAGTAGTGTGTGTGTGTGTGTGTTCATTGTCACAGTGCCTTGAATTGATGTCAACAATGCTATGGATCGAGATAGATCGCAGATGACATTAAAACTAAACTGGCCTTCCACCGCTCTGTTCCGCACAGGCTCGGTGCCTCGGAGGTCTCGCATTTCTGTCTTGATGTGTGTGCTAATATGGTGGTTTTTATTACGCAGTGGAGATCCATGTGAAAATCCATGATATCGGCACTTTGCCTAGTCTGGGGTGAGGTCCTTACGTGTTCTCAAATCTACGAAACACAGAGGCACATCAGCATGCTAATGTCACTGCTTGCAGCATCTTGCAACACATCCTTCATGCTGACAGTCCCAGTGCAACAAGCGCCATGCGAATCCTATGGTACGTAGCCGTTTTCCGTCGTCGGATTGGGTTACAGCAGTTCTCGCTGCGCTACCTCAACCGTCTTGATTTGGCTTGGTCTCCGAGTGTTACGAGTGGAGATTGCCCGTGCATCAGGTTATCGCAATCTAGGCTTGGTTACTTCGTTCTGTGCCACTTGCAGGAGCTGAGCTGCTGGTCGGCACGCCCGGTCGCCTCATCGACGTTAAATCCTCAGAGTTGGCGACATATTCCAGTTGCAACGAGAAAGCAGCAGTTCATTTCGGGCTTCCGAGTGAAGTCATTGACCATGTCTTCGGATGATACATCAAAGGTCCTCACAACATCAGGTGGGAAGATCACCAACCTCAGACGAGTAACTTTCCTGGTATTGGACGAGGCGCCACAGCAACGACCCAGGATGCTAGCACCCTGCTCAACTGTTCCTTCGGGCCTCATCATGTGAGGCTGATCGCATGTTTGACATGGGGTTCGAGCCGCAGATCGGCATGTTCTTGCAGAGCACTCGTCCCGACAAGCAGGTGGTATGCAGCTGACTTGGATGACTGGTTGAAGTTGAACTGCGTATTCACCTGCTCCTGCAATTCTGCAGGTGGCGATGTTTAGTGCAACTTTGCCAGCACATGTTGAAGCTTTGGCCAGAAAGGTTACTGACTCGGAGTTTAAGCATAGCTTAGCAAGTGCAGATTCGGCTTCTCGCACGTATGAGGTGCTGAAGAAGCCCCTGGAGATTTCTGTCACGACCCCGATCCAGCTACTGACTTTGAGGGTTTGCTGGTACGTGGATTTGTTGTCACAGGTTGGAGAGAAGAACACAGCGGCTTCCAACGTGACGCAGTTCGTTGAGGTCAATTTTGCGCTATCAGCACATCGGCCACGATTCTGATGTGCCTGTTTCTGCTTCTGCATGGCAGGTTCTGGATGAGAGCCAGAAATTTTATCGACTGCTTCAACTTCTGGGAGAGTGGCATGAGCACGGTGGCGGCCCTCTCTTCTGTCGACCAGGGTGAGTTGTCAAAGTTGTGATAGCATTTCCAGAGTCTCATGGGAAGGTGCAATCATGATTTTCGTCCATCAACAGAAGGACGTGTTCTGACCGCGACTTGGGTTCTTTGCAGTCTCGGTCTCGGACGATAGTGGCAGGACGTAGACGAGATGTTTACGGAACTCCTCAAGTATGGATACCCTCCGCTTGCGTTGCACGGGGGCCAGGCCTTTCTTCTTGGCTGGTTGCAGACTGCAACCGCAAGTCAGTGTTTACACCCTGAAGGACCAGCAAGACCGTGATTTCACCCTCCAAGACTTCAAAGATGGCATATCGAACATCCTCATAGCAACATCTGTTGCTGCTAGAGGTTCGGCGCGGTTCATGAATTGCGTGTTGGATCCTGGACATGTCAGAAATCGGACAGAAGCATGCAGACATGCGACAGGCATCGATGTCAAAAATGTCATCTTGGTGGTCAATTTCAAGGTGTTTTTACAGAGCAGGTATGGTTTGGACTCAAACCGTCGGAATCGGAAGGTACCCGACCACTTGGAAGATTACATTCACCGCATTGGCCGCACCGGCAGGGCTGGGAAGCTTGGAGCTTGGTAAACCGAGCTGCACGGAAGAAGTGTTAGGATGCGAGTGTGAGCAGGGCAGGCTTTGCCTACACTTTCATTCAGCCTGATGAAGCAGACCGGGCTCAGGACGGCTCCGGTCTCCGGTTTGAGTCGAGCCACCTTAGGCAATTGTCGCCCTGTAGGACCTTGTGGATGCGCTGCGACAGTGCAATCAAGAGGTACCGCTGAAGCTCAAGGCCCTCGCAGAGGACCTGCTGCGTTGTAGTCACCAGTGTGCTTATTGGTAGCCAGTCACCGGTCACACTGGCTTGTACTGGCATAGAGGAACACCAGACTGCGGTGAACACCGGCCAAGCTGTTGACCAAGACAGCATCCGCTTAGAACTACCGTTCCGGGTTGGCCACAGCTCAGGCTCAAAAGCGAAAACGATGGGGTGGCTTTGGCCTGCTGCCCTGGCAGTTTTGGAATCGAGTGTGTGTTGCCATCCGCCGCGGAGGAATGAATTGGGTTCGGAGATCCAATCTTGTTGGTCCTGTTTTATCTTGGTCTCAGCCGTTGCTGCTTTTAATTTATGCCGCTCCATGTTTCTGCTTGTCCGCTCTCCGGTTGTGAGGTTGTGAAACATGCCTGTCTTGAAGACCCGTAATTCAGCATGAAACCTTGTTGATCTACGCATGTTTTTGTATCCTAGGTTTGCAGTGCACGTGCAACAGACTTGAGAGCACTAGCATATACTAGCATGAATAGGATCCCGACTGAATGTGCATACTGCAGACGTCGTGAGCGCAAGCCGAGAAAACAGGCTCCTTTGTGTGCATTGAGACTCCGCAAGCTGGTATCCCTTCCAAACTGGTAGCGGAACCAGCGGATCTCAGTGCCGTTTCGCTTGAGTCTGAGAGTAAAACTGTTGTAGAGCAGAGCCCCTAGCGTGTCCAGGGTAGATTGGAGCGAGCCCATGAGTGTGGCTGGGTTGAAGTATCAAGGGACCCAGTGGGGTCACAATGCAGCAACAGCAAACACCAGGTCCGGATCGTATATATACTCCGGAACTGCCTCAGCCCATCATGACTGGGAGTTTAGAACACGGATACGCGTGTTGCAGCATAAGGAAAAGCAAAGGCGAGAGGTCCTGAAGGATATGCGTGGTGCAGCCTTAGCCAGGAGTCAGTCGCGGAGAAGTGGACCGGCAAATCGTTGATTTGGCCAACTCACCGAGGGTGAGTCCAGCGGCATGCCCGCTAGCTCATCTAGCGCAAGGGGGGCGAGACCTGCGTCTGTTGAAGAGGACGAGGACGCGGGGTCTCTGCCGAGTCACCCTAGCCAGATAGAAGGTGACGACGACATCTTCTGCCTTTTCCAGTCGTAGTTTATGTGTCAATCCCTCAAAACAAAACATGGTGGAAGTTTCCAGTTTCAGGAGCCCTTGCATGAAACAACAAATCACTTACAGGGACATCAGGGACAAAGCAGCCCCTCCACAAGATTGGTCGCAGTTCGTGCTTGATCCTATTGCCTTACCACGGTGGATCCAAGAAGGGTGTCGCAAAGAACAATTTTTGGGGCAACACAGCACTTTAACAAACAAAATTGTTTTTTGGGGACAGTACAGCGTTTTTGCTAGTTTTTTGGCAAACGTGCTGTACTGTCCCAAAATTTTTTTTTAAGCTGCCGTATTGTCCCAAAGAAACAAAATCCAATCTTTTCAGATCCTGGCACCTGGTGGGGTGGTTTCTTTGATTTTTGGACAGTACAGCATGTTAGCAAAAAAATGTATTTTTTCGGAACAGTACAGCGTTTTCGTTGGTTTTCAAACTGACGTACTGTCCCAAAAAACGGATCTTTTTGGATGCTTGGGGAGCTGGCCTCCAAGATTGGATAAGATTGTTTTTTCATACAATACAGCATGGTAGCAAAAACACTTGCTTGCCTTGGACAGTACAATGTTTTTGATATTTTTCTTGCAGAAGTGCTGTACGGTCCAGAAAAAACCAGTGTTGTTGAAGGCCTGGGGAGGTAGCCTCGAAGACAGGAAAAGATTGTTTTTGTGGGTTTGCTTTTGGGCTGTACAGCACATTGGCAAACAACGATAAGTTATTTTGGGACAGTACAGCGTTTTTGTCAGTTTTCCTACGAAAGCGCGATGCGGTTCGCATACCCATCATGTTCCGGTTTATGCGCATGATGCTGGTCTAAGGTGGTGCACGAATGTTCTGGCTTATGCTCATGATGCTGCCTGCAGCAGGAAGCTTTATGAATCTATTGATATTTGGGGGTACCGTTATATATTTATACATATAGAGATAGATAGATAGATAGATAGATAGATAGATAGATAGATAGGTAGTTGTATCCATGCTCTTATGTTTAGGTATACGTACCTATGTCGAATATACAGTAGTTAGACGTTGTACATCACCATGAATGAAAAATTCAGAGCAGCAAAAACTAGGTTTTCTTCAGGAGCACCGAAGACGGCAGGTTTGCCCCGGAAACGCAGCGAAAAAGGACCAACCGCAAGGCTCCACCCAGCGATTGGGTTCGAGCACTTCCAGAGTGCAATTCGGTCCACATAGTCTCTGTGCCACCGAGAAGAGTTGGTGCCAAGTTGGAGACTGCCGGGAAGCCAGTCAAGGATGTTTTTATGCAAGCGCATGTCAACCAGGAACACGCGAGTAATCCGAACAAAAACCTTGTGGCACATGCGTCGCCACCGAAGTCCAGAGCAGAAAGTTGCAGCCTTGTGTGGACCCAAACACATCGACATAAACGACTTACGCGCTACCAAACCTTGTAACTCAGCCGCCGACACATGTCAACACCATGGAATCAGGTCTCTTCGTATCGTGTTCTTTCGGATGCATTGTCACAGAAGAACAGAGACAAGGCGGGAAGAGCTTCAAGTACGACAACACAGAGAAAAGCAGGACAGGGAACAGTGCCGTCACTCGAACTGTAGCTCTCCGATCTGCGCCATTAGTTTGTAGGTCTCATTCTTGCCTGCACAGGCAGCAGCAAGAGCGGCAGCAGGCAAAGAGTGATCTTTTGATTGGAGACTTCGAGGACATGGCGCAGCAATCGTATCGTGCGACCTGCTCAGGGCAGTGCACCGATGCGTGCCGCCTTTGCTCGTTTAGCTTTGGAGGAGGAGGATGAGTTCAAAGATCCTTGGTTGGAGCCGGACAAGCCGGCCAAGGGTAGAGGCAAGCGAGACGACAATGCGCCTGAGCCTCAGAAGTCCAGCTACAGCATCACGTGGGCTTGCTTTTTGAGGTTTTCTGTTGTAGTCGCGTTTAGCACAGGTCTACCAAAGCAGCCGGGACTACCGACACTGTGGCGGCAGCAGCCAACGTGGCGGCCAAGATGCAGGCACCCTTCATCCGACATTTTAAAGGCTAGGAGTGTTTTAGCAGCTTCGATGAACCGCATCGTGGTGGGCTGCAGATGGCTCAGTCCCCCCGATCCAGCTGTTCCGGCCTGTGACTACAACGTAAAATAATGCAAAGCACTTTGACAACTCTTCGCCAAACCGATCAGCACTGAACCCACCTCGTCATACCGGCCCAACCATCGTTTGCTGGCCTGCTGCTGCAGCTGTCCGACCATGTCGAAGCCATGGCTGTTTTCGACTTATCTGCCCTTGTCAGCCTTGCTCGGGATGGCACTGTCCTGCGCCCTGCCTTGCTGAGGTGGGTTCTGCTGCTGCTGCTGCTGCCAGGCAGGACCCAAAGCGGCCGTTGTGCATTGGCTTGCTGGTTGAGCGGCGGGCTTGACATTGAGTTCAGTAGTCAGTAAGCTGCAATGAACTTGCAAGATCATTTTCAGCATTGGTGTGCATTCCGCATTCCAGCCCAGGGACCCAAATCTTTTCAGACGGCTAGGACACCTCAGCAAGAGTGATGGCTAAAGTCGGTTCAGGACTAGTCAGATACCATGTGATGCGATAAGCAGTGCTGGCAGCAGTGATTCTTCGCTTCGTCGTTCGAGCTCGATCAAACCTCTCACGACGTGGAGGCAGCCTCGCCATGCGCGCTGCAGGCAAGAGCAGTGAGCATATTTGGACGACGGCATTCGCAGGATACGATTGTTCGAATGGCAGGCGTGTCGACCATACCACCCAACGGCACAGTCTTCGTCACCAAGTTCTGCATGTCCTACAACCCACCAGAGAGGCCAGCTCAGCCTGGTACATGTCGAATAATTCCTTAACTCGTTCGCCGGTCGGATCATGATGCTCCTCTTTTTCTGTAGAGTTCACGGAAAATCAGTGCTGTGCCGAATGTGACAAAGTGAACGCCAGACCTGCATGCAGCCAGACCGCCTTTGCAGATTTGTAGGGAGAGATGGTGCTAGAAGCCTTTGGCACAAGGCCATGCAGGCTTTCATCAAGTATAGTACATCGCTGAATCTTCCTCTCCAGCATTGCGTTGAACGCCGAATGAGTGCTTGACCTGATTACCTTCAAGATTGCCGTTGTCGCCGTCGCATTGGCATGACAGGCTTTGACAAATGCTGCTCTATTCATTTCAGGATGGGTGTTCCTGGGCGCTACAGCAACACCATCACTGTTCAGATTTAATGGATGATGCTGCGGGGGTCCAGAAGCTTCTCCATCTTAGGCTTATTGCAGTGCTTTGACAGGACTTGACAGGTCTACTTGTCACGTTTCGTCTTCCAGCTGGGGGCCTCGTTAGGACCAGCTGGACGACGACGAGTTGACATGAATGCCGGGGTGCTACATCCTCAAACCAACATCTGAGCCTCACTGTGGCCTCACTCTTGAAGGTTACCTTGCTCCGGCTTCGGGGGCGCCCGGTAAGGATAATTGATAGTCCGTGCTGCTTATTTCGGTTCTCCTCTCCCATGCCAATACAAGCCATTGCCGGCCCGGATTGCAGCAAAGAGCTGAAGCCCGATTTGCTTCTCCGGCCTCCACTGCTTCGGCTTTTGTTGAGCCGTCGGTTCTCCTGCCCTAGGCCCTAGGCTTAATGGTTCTCATTCTCGGGCTGGTCCCGCAGTGGTCCCGCGGCCCCTCCAACCTGGCTCCGTGCCTGGGCCCCGTTGATCGTGGTCCTCAAGACCTCGATTTTGAGGCCGGCTCAGCCAACCCCCCTCTTCCCACTGCCCGTGCTTCAATGTGTTCCGGCCGTGCGAGGGCTTGCAGTTCCGTTCGGACCGTCGAAGGGACCAGGCGAACTTCCGAATTGGTGGCCCGATTTTCCGACAAGGATCAAAATGCTAGCAGACGAGCGCCACAAGGCGCTATCTGCCGGATACCCGCCCGGGCAAGTTCCGGTCCTCAGCCACGAAATTCATGATGATGTGCTCAGCTTGGCCAGGCATCAAAAACCAAAACAACGGAGGGCCCGTCTTTAATTTAACCCCCCCCCCTTTGATATTTTGTTGGCCCCACCATCCTCCCTCTTTTTTTCTAACCCCCCCATGCTTTCTTGAAGCCCCCTCCAAGTGGGAGACACAGACCTCTCCTCAACCCCTCCTCTCTCCCACACTCTCCCTTTCCAC